GAGACTTCGAGTTATAACAAAGGCTTGGCTTGGCTATTATAACAAAGGATCGGCTCTGTTTATCATAACAAAGGCCTGGCTTTGTTTATTTGCAGCCTCGGCGGGAAAGGGCGTTAGGTATTTTAATCAAAAGTGAACTTTGTCGAAAATGCTCCAAATTTTGCATGCAGTTTTGTTTAGGTATGTTTAGCAATGTCCCGTAGTTTTTCCGCTAAACTTTGCTTCGTTTTCGGGATATTGCGTATGCAAAAAACCACTTGGTTTTCATAGCGGTGTCTTTATAAAGCGAAGCAAAAACCAGCGGCAAAAATACAGGAACACGTTTTTTTATTACATTGACGAGCACATGCAAAAATTCAGCTAATTTGGAGCAAAAAAAAAGAAAAGCAACCAAAATCGTCACTTATCCTCTTTTATGACTAACTTCTTCATGTCTCTTTGTTATGCATTCCCACAACTTGTGTTTGTGTTTGTTTGTCAAAGAAAGGACATTACATTTCTGGGAATGAAAAAGGCTTCAAAGCGAAATGTGCATGTTGTTAAAACGTCCTGCCGATCAATGAAAGCTATCACATTTTGAGTTTTTGATCCCTTTACAAATTCCCTGACAAACTACCACTTATTAACACTTGCTTGATCTTAAGCTACCAAAAATGGGAAGAAAATTGAAACAGTCACTTGAACTCCCTATTTTAACACATGAACTTAATGTTTTTGCAAGTAAAGATCTGTGTTTTGGCATGTGTCGGCAAGTCGTTTGCGAAACATTTGTCTGAATTAAACGTTCTGAAGATCCTCCTCGAACAAATGATATCTCCGGTTATATTTGACACAGATCATTCGTTCAAATAGTAAAATAATCTATCCTTGACGAAAAAATTGTTTATTAAAGTTTCTATGGTGCGCCGCTCATGTTTAGTTATTTTTTCTTCAAGGAAAAGTTCTGTGTTTCGGCATGAGTTGACAAGTTGTTTGGAAAGTGTTTATTGTCTGAACCGTTCTGAAGATCTTTGTTGAAAAAATGACATCTCCGGTTTTATTTGACACAAATCGTTCATTCCAATGGTAAAATGCTCTTTCTTTGGCCAAATAATTGTTTATCAAAGTTTCTATGGTGTGCTGCTCACGTTTAGTTATTTTTTTCTTCAAGGAAAAGTTCTGCGTTTAGGCATGCGTTGGCAAGTCGCTTGTGAGATGGTTATTGTTTGAAGCGTTCCGAAGACCTTGCCGAAAAAATTATATATACTGTTATATTTGACACAAATCGTTCATTCAAACGGTAAAATGCTCTTTCTTTAGCCAAATAATAATTATTGTTCATCAAAGTTTCACTGGCGCGTTGCCCACATTTAGTTTTTTTTTCTTCAAGGAAAAGTTCTGTGTTTCAGCATGCGTCGGCAAGTCGCTTGTGATAATGTTTATTGTTTGAAGCCTTCCGAACACCCTGTCGAGAAAATGATATCTCCGGTTATATCTGGCACAAACCGTTCCAAATGGTAAAATACTCTTTCCCCGACGAAAGAATTGTTTACTGAAGTTTCTATGGTGCACTGCTCACATTTTGTTATTTTTAATTTTCTTCAAGGAAAAGTTCTGTGTTTTGGCACATGTTTCCAAGTCACGCACTTGCTTGGACCGTGTTTACTTTGTGCCGATAAAAAGTTAGCATTTCGGTTGTGTTTGCTCCATGAAGATGGGATTGTTGAAGCATGTAGGCTCTATTTGACAAAAAGAAAATGGTAATTTTTTTATTTAACGGCAAAATACTCTCTCTTTTAATTATATTCAGTCAGTTAATTTTCTGTCAAGTACCCAATTGCAAAATGTTAGTTTCAGTCAACATTTTGCTAATAACTCTAGTCTGAAGGCATATGCGCATATACTGTATACGCGTATTCAAAATAAAGAAAACTCTTTCTCGCTTTCTCACTCAAAATACGTGCATATAAATTGCATACTCATAGTTTGCTTATATCTGAGCTGCACTATATTCTATAACAATAATAAACTACCAAACCATGTCACTTTGGCTATGAAAGGCACAATTTATTCTGTAACCATAGCAACCTTGATCTTTTCACATGTAAAGATAATATGCTATTTTCATGTGTGAAGATATTGAGGATATTACATGGCCACTTGGAGATATGAAATTTCTCCTCTTGTGTTGAAAAATATTTCATGACTGAGTGCAGCGAACAAGTGAAATATTTTTCAATACTCAAAGAGAAATTTTGTATCTCCAAGTGGCCACATAATGTTGTATTTATTATATAAACACTAGTGAAACACAAAATCATTTCACTTTTGCTGCAGAAGGTGCCAATTAGTATGTAACCATAGCAATGATCTTTTCACTTGTGAAGATACCATGTTTTTGTGCAAAAGCTCACCTGGTATTTCACAGTGTTTATATAATAAAGCTCATTTACTATACAATACCTTGATTTGAGGAATAAGCACCTGTCACAGGATTTCTAGTTGAAGTCAAAGTTTCTTTAGGTGATACCAAATCTTTCACCAAAAAATACTCATCACGAATTTTACACATACTTTTCACTTGGTCACTGCAGGGGAAAGTACAGGAAAGTAAAAATGCAAGAATGGACGGGTATAAATTATATGAGTGTGTACTAGCAGGATCCAGTTGTTTGAAAGCTGATATGTGCTAAATCTCAGATTAAAACATTTCATTTCATAGTTTTATGCCCACTAGCTTTTAATTTAATAATATATAGCTTGTAAGGCAGTATGTTCATGCTGGATGATCCCCTGGTAATAACTGTAAATATAGTCAAGAATGTTTTGCATTTTCCGCTGAAATTCAGATTTCTAAGGGCCCATTTATATAGTCTTGGGTACCTGAAACAATCCCCCTCCTGAGTTACCCTGGTCAAGCTAACTTTACAATACCGGTAATTTCTTTGCAAAATTCCACCAACCATTTTCATGAGGATCATGAACCTGCCTCAGAGCATGAGACAACTTGGGTGGGTGAGTTGTCTCTCTTGAGCAGGTACTGTAACCCTGGCAGACAGGACAACTTTTCTTCATATAAACACTTTGGCCCGCTTAACCAGGACAACTCTCGGCATGGCGAGTGTCACGCAATGCCTAGATTAAGGATTTAAAGCATGAATTTGTATCAAAGTGAAAATTAACTCCGCAAAACCCACTGTGATTGAATAACGATCACGTAAAACTCAAAGAAAGAGGGATATTAATAATTTTGCACATTTGATTATTCAGTAAGGATTATGAATAATCATGCAGGGTCAACTTTGATTCGGCCTACATGCAGGGACAACGTTTACACACCTAAATGCTTGCTAAAGTTGCTTCGAGGGGAGGGTTGTCTCGGGTACCTGAGACCATATAATTGGGCCTAAGAAACACCATTTCCTCTCTGTTGTTTTCATACAAACGTCTAATTTATTACACCTACAGTTAATGTCAGAAATATCATCTTAGGCCTCTGTCTAGGGACCTGATCTCAATCTCCGCAGCAACGAACGCAGCACGCTCAATGCCTTTAAGTTTAAGTTAATGCTTTTTTTTATAATTTGGACTATCAGCTACATGTTTATGACATCATAATATATGTCAGAAATACGTCATGTCATACGCTTATTTGAATGAAGTACTAAGCTTTCGAGTTCCGAAGCTCACCTTTCTTTGTCCCTTTTCATCGGTAGGGAGTTGTCGTGAAGAAACATATCATGACTTCTTTTGAGGGATCGAAACACAAGTGTATGCACTGAATGCTTTACAATGTCCTGCAACAAGAAATGTCCAATAGATCGGTTTAAAACTAAAGAGAAAGTTCCAAACACGTGGAATTCTGTCTTACCTCCGCCATTTTGAATGCTAATGCATACATTCAGTTCAAGACTTCATGTAAATGATGTAAATAGTACTCACGTTGGAACGAGGTTGAGAATTCACGTGACAACCTATTGTCTTCGCAGGTATCCATATTATTTCCTTGGTCTCTTTCGGTTTAGAAAATGGTTCGCAAGTAGAGCATAAAAAAAACAAGTTTACACACCACATTGGTCGACACTAAGGTTTATTAAATCTTAGGCCCTTTTAAGACAATTCTTTTTGTTGTTGTACATTGTTGTCGTTGTGGTATGTGTTTTACATGTAACTTTCTGTCCACTGTCTGCACTGTGAGCTACTGTGTGTGTTATTTTTTCTTTTGTGTGTGTGTGTGTGTGTGTGTATATGTATATGTATATGTATATGTATATGTATATGTATATGTATATGTATATGTATATGTATATGTATATGTATATGTATATGTATATGTATATGT